TCAGCTCGATTTGGTTGATGCAGAAAAAATGAATTTTGCTGTTTGAACGATTGTTCGATGCTTGCGTTCATTCCTTTTGTATAAATCACACCAGTGATAACGGTAGCCGCAGCTGCAGAACAGTCGGTCAGAGTAACCCTAGGACTACAAGGCGGGTTTGTACATATATGTATGTATAACCTATGCAAGGGCATGTTTTTACTCGTTTTACTGCTGCTGCTGTTGTGGGGGCATGTGGACACGCATGCATTGACTGTAGTCGTCTAATGCTGACCGCAGAGTTTGGTCTGTCTGCCTGTCTGTCGACTAAATTGCTATTGTCGCATTGGATAGAGAGAGGACATTCGGCATTTGATGCTCTTTTGTGCGTCGCGATAGCACCGCCTACCATTCATCGTGGTATATCTTTTCCGGTTGCTTCCCCTTCAGTTCTGTCTGCCGATCTTAAGCGGAGACGGTTACGATAGATAGAGACAGCGACTGTGGCAACGAGATCACTGCCTATAAAAGCTTATTTCAAAAGCGGCTGACCTCACGTATGAGGAAACACTTTTCTGTATTAATAATTATCAGTCCACAGACAGAAAGCTGAATGCAGAACAAAAGAAATATTATAATAAACGCGTAATAATGATGGTTAGATACTCTTCATTTGAACGATGATTTGATTAGTTATTTGATTAGCTGTTCATTCCTGAGTGGTTATTGTTAACTTTCTGATTATATAATCTGCAGTAATTTGAAATGTCTCCAAACTCGACGTGAAAATGGCGTCACGCGTTAAGAATATTCCGATGTTATAATTATGCATACGTTGAACACATTTTGTTTAAGAATCATTTGTATCAGTCCGTATTAGTTTTTCTGCCAAAATAGAAGGAAAATTATGTATCGGGCCGTCATTAAATTCTTGTATTTAGATGACGATAAACCCACGCAAATGAAGACCGAGATAGACGCTGCTTACGGGGACCATGGGCCAGCGTTTACCCCTATGAAAATCTGGATACTTGAAGTTTAAATAACAATGAACGTGTGGAACGGTAAAACACTGTACTTGCTCCCAATAACATTAAAGAAGTTCAGTATGTAGCGCTAAGCGACCATTGAACGGAATTGAGATTCGAGAGATGGTAACAGCTATGGGCATCTCGAACGTAAACTGACTAAAGATTAGGGTATGAAAAAGCTAGCCACGTGCTGGTACCAAGTTTGCTTATTCAGGGCCAAAAACACATTCAAATAAACATTTTTAATGCGGAGTCTTTTAATGGGTTGAGTTTACAGTTGATGCGCGATTCAGTCTTGATTGTCAGTGGCGTAACATATGATATTGATATATTCAGTGAGACAATTCATTATTAGCTTCAGTTTTTGGGACCTACTCGACAGGCGCGGCGTCCTCTTCTGTAGTGTTTATCCTTAATAATTTAGCCGCCTCCCCGGATAGTTGCATAATTGCGGTATTATTTTGCTAAAATCTCAAAGGTGCTTGGACAAATTGTTTAACTATTCCTGATCAGGCTGTCTTTTAGAATTGAAAATTCTAAAACGTTTGTCCTTCAAACGGGACTATCGGAAGTAACTTACTAAAGAGGACGCAGTTGTCGCTGTATTTACTAAGAGTGGTATTTTACTTGACGTATGTATGGCAATACATCGTACTCAAGTAAAAAAAATGACAAGCTATTCTTGTTTCTATTTCCCGTAATCCTTGGATGGAGGCTCATGTAAGTCCACACGTCTTCCTTGTTACCTCTCTATCTTCGTTTTTTCTTGTCATATCGGTAGCCAAAGTCTTGATCTCCTAGTAGACGGTGTTATGGATATACGATTCTGTAACTAAATGTTTTCTATTCACGAAAAGGTCATGTTCAGCTGGGCGTTGAAATCCACTTGTCCAGTAGCTTCGAAGCTTTGTTAAAACAGTTTAAATGAAACGAGTTTTTTTAGCGTCGATTAGTAACTATCGGTAAAGCATAGATATACCACTATCCTTGAAGCCATGGCACAGTCGAGATAGTGAAGTCCAAAAAGCTGCTCCATCGGCCGGGAAAATTATGACAACTGTTTATTTTTTTTGGAACTGCTATGAAGTTCTGTTAATCAACTACTTTAAACGATAAAACAACGGGTGCTTACCACGCATCATAACCTGACAAGCTAAAAACTGATATTTCTAAGGAACGAGCACATTAAGAAAATGTTCTATTCGAACGTAATGTCCCACATCACAGTGGTCGTCATAACATTTACGAACTAAGGTTGAACTCCGTTAAATTGGAGTGGATCTGCCCTTGGCGATTTTTTGCTATATTAGTCTGGAAAAATTCAGACTGCTTACATACCGTCGAAGTTAATACAAAACATCTATGGTTAGTAATAACATATTAGGAGTAATTGAAATCGCTGAAAAATTTGCTAAACTAAATATAATGCGCGACACGATCTATACTTTAACTCAATCGGCAGATCAGTTTTTTTTTAAATCTAGAAAATCGTATTTCTTATCATTATGTAAGTTACTTGGGCATGTAACTGTAGGATAGTTATACGGTTCGCTCACTGTTATTGTTAAGTACGAATTCAACTTAAAGTACTTTGTGTCTGCCAATGGCCGGACAAGGTGACTCTTTCAAGCAGACTTGGAGCCGGCCAGTGCTCAGTATTCAGGATAGCGTGCTTTGTTCGGCCCGCCTTTATGGGGCTCCACCTTCACGCCAGCTATCACGACTTTAAATCCAGCTATCAAGACTAAAATCAAGAAAACATCTACTTAGTACGAAATCTCGATGACGCTTTCCAAAAACGATCTACAACTCATTATCAATAAGATAAAAGTTATACTCAAAATAGTTTGTATAGTGGCATGCTAGATATTTGAGCTCTATTTGTACATACCATTTGGCATATCCGCGTGCTATAAAAAAAACTGCCCTCATCAGTTCTCCTATTTCAATAACGTCGATTTATCTCAATAGGGTACGTCCTTTCGGTCGCTAGAGTGATCCGTCAACATTCGTGTGGGAGGCGAGGATTTCCACTTGAGTATTAGTCCAAATCAATTAATTAGATAGGTACAATATGGCAGCCCCAAGGCTCACGTGCTGTATAACATAACAAGGTCCTCAGCAAACACGTCGTTTTCTTTTCTACTTGAAACCCGCAAAACACACGTATCTTGCATAAAGACAATGGTAATCTAGTCAGGAAGGCCAGCTGTTGGCAAGAAATCATCGAGATGTACATGTGCCCTGTTTGTGTTCAGTTATAGTTGAAATCGTATGAAAATATGGACAAGCAGAATCCGCAATGAAGGACACGCAATCCGCTTCCTATTCACGAGATGAACCCATGTCTAACGACAATATATGCAGATGCTGAGCGTAAGCTAGTGTGAGAAGTTGCACTGCCAAGAAAAGACAACAGCTAACGCGTAACGCTAAAAAAATTTACACTTCTTGGCGGCTTGCAGTCCTGCTATACAATTTAACCTTAAGCTTACCAGAAATAAACATCTTTTTTATTCTTATTTACTATCTATGTTATACTACGTTATTTTTCTGTACGTCTAACGAATTTACAAAGGGAAAACAGCTAAGCCGTCTATCGTTCGCTCTTCCACTTTGTCCACCGGGAATCTGCCGTCCAAAAATGTACAATCTAGAATTCTGGCACCTGTCTCTAGAACATCAAAGGCACTTCTGTGTCAGACCACCTACACATTGATGGAATTATAAGCGTAAACTAAATTATTCAGCAATAGCTTAGTCGGCTCAAAGCTAGATCATAAATGCCACTGAAGTGAGTGACCGGATCTGACCACGCAGGTCTATATATATCTACTGGCTAAAAACCAACATAGTGAAAACTTTCATTTCCTTCGAGAACATTAGTAAGTAGTGCCGTTATTATTGTTTCACATCTCTGATGCTAATTAATGGTTGTAACTACACCCGTTGTTTTTTTAACTGAATTTTTTTTTGTAAAACACTTCAAAATGTTCAACAAGCACAAAGTACACGTGCGTAAAAAAAAAAAGCCAAATAAAGAGACGATAGTTCCATGTGGAACCCCGCACCTGTAATCTGCTGGCCAAGCCTGAAAAAGGTGTGCCTTTGTAGGCGATTTCCAGCTGTCCCTTCTACAATAGATGTCAATACTGCTGTAACCGTTGCTGCAACGATTTGTCAGTGTAGGCAGTTCCGTACAAGCGACCTGGAGGGAGCAACAGACACAATTACGGCTATATTCGTTGGCTTTCTTAAAGCTCGGACTACAGCATAAGACTGTGTGCTATGCTCAAATTAAGACCCGTATGTCGCTCCAGTTAGTAGACGTCAAAAACACGCCATACGTAACCTACAGCGGTAGGGCGAGTCAGAAGTGGAGAGAGCCTATGACCCAACAATGCCGCCTATAGAGCCTACAAAGAATTGCCTTTAGTTCCACGGATTTTAGTTACAACGTGAAACCCATGAACTGAGAAGTAACAAGAAAAAGTTTTTAAATTTAAAAATAACATAAAATTAAATAGCCTGCCATTTGGTAACTATTATTCTTGTACAGCTCTGCTATACAACAAAAGCTACTTCCAGCTACATTTAACTGCAATAGTTAGACAATATGTACATGCTTTCTCTACACTAAATACTTATCCCTGTACCTTTTTTTGATGATATGTTTCGGCGGTGTAACTCAGGTAGAACCTTCACAGAGCCTTAACAGAAATAGTATCTGTTTTTGGCAACGCAAAAAATGAACTGGGCAATAATCCTCTGGCTACGAACCGACTTTGATTAGCAAGTTATAGTTTGGGGGGTTTTCGATAAACTGTTTGACCTGCAGAAGTATCAAATTAGGATGCTAATGCGTACTCGGTATTAGACTAAATGAGACCTATGAACTTGAGCTGATATGATGACACTTAAGATCAGTAAACAGTAGGATTAATATAAGAGATTACCCTGTGTCTAATATTTCTTTCCATTTGTTCACAGGTAAAAATCGCCTATGTTTAGCAGACATCGCTATAGAAGATCTACGAGAATTTGGCCGAGGCATCCGCCATTGTGGAACAATCTCAAAGCCTCACGTCTCTGGTCTAGACGAGGTGTTAGAACCGCGTAGTGTTCGTTAATTGCCCAGTGTGTATTTGTGTGTATTTTTCCATGTCCGTCATAAAAACAACTTTGTTCTTTGCTGCATGGCAGTTGCTGTTGCTGCTATAAGCCAATCATCGTCGTTCGAATCATCTATCTGTGTATTTACGCGTTAGCGTTCGTGAGCACCACAAGGCAACGGTGATATTGACGTGCATGCGCAGCATATCGTGTTCGCGCAAATTAACGTTGCAAAAAAAAGATAAGTTGGTATTGAGCACCGGCTCTTGCGTAGTTAGCGGACGTAACAAAAATTTGAGTTTCTTCCGCCTATGACGCTTCAAAGGGATCCTCCTGGTGTAGCCACGCGCTCAAACGTATCTTGCCTGCAGTTAAGTGCGCCTTCGCATTGTGGTGCATCACAAGTCCAAGCTAAGCCCTTGATTACGCGAACATCGTCACTGCCGTCCGACCTCGAGGGGTTTGAGCCATTGACGTCATCAGTGTCCCCTTTCGTAGCACCAACCCCGTGCACTGAGGGCTGGAGCGTTTCGGGCCCGGCAATCAGCAGCGTTGAAGGAGGCGGTAGAGCTAGCCGCATGTTGTCACGACTCGCGCCTAACGCATTCGTCGTCTCGCAACCGAGGGACCCGCTCTAAGCGCCACCTAACGATGAGCGTCTAGAGCGGCGGCGATCGCTTTTTGTGTACTGCGTCTGTCGGCAGGTGTTGATCGCCTCGGCAGTCGCCACAATTAAACAACAAGCAGCAGCGTTGCTTACTGCCCCAGCATCGCTAGAGGCAACAAAAGCAACCACAACATCAACAACGCAACGAGAAGCAACAACGATAACAAGAAAACTGCCGGTGTACGGTAACTGCTCGGCCAAAATCGAATACCATCGCCTCAGCGTTTTACCACCAACGCCATCACTACTATCAGCTATATATACTGAACACATTTCGGCATCGACAACATCGATACCAACGCTGAAGGCGTCAAACGACACCGGTTCTGCCGAGTCCGACTGCTATTGTTGCTGCGAGGATTTATGTACGAGATTCAGCAACCGACGTGAGTTAACACCGGCAAGTGTCGAAGTGTCAAACAATCAAGTGGAAGAAACAAAATCCGAGCTCTACTTATCACCGCCCACATCACCAGGGCGCCCTGGAAACACAAAGCCACGAAGTCAGTCACGTACACAAGTGCGAATTGCTACTCCCATAATGACTGGCACAGCCGACGGTCAGGCTGAACGAGGCGGAATTAAAAGCCTCTTCGATGATGAAGATTCGCAATGGATTTTAAGGTTCGATTCGATGCTCAAATATGCTGGGGCTGGAGTAGGGAACAGCCTAACGGCAAGTCAACCATCTAACGATCCTAACTCCATTGTTGATCGGACAGCTTCTGGTGCAATTCTGGGTGGTGGAAGCGTACCCTCGAGCCCATCTAGCGTTCGTCGGGCACGCGAAAAGAAATACTCTCTGCCCAATCCAGCGCTGACGTCAAGCTCCGTCAGCTCAGCAGCTGGACCAGCCGTGTCACGAACAGGTTAGTTGTAATTAATTGACACATGTAGCATCAACGATATTAGGGCTTATGAAACTGAATGTTTATCCATTTTGTATCGCCGACAGAAACCGAACTTTTATATATATATATATATACAGCGCAGTATTGCGCTTGGTCTTGCAAGACTGAAATCAGGTACAACTGTAAATGGGGTAACCCAAAAATTGACTGAATAATTGAAGAGTCGTATCGTTTCACATCTAATGTGATAGGAGATACGAAAGTTATTACAAACTGGAGCGAGTTCAACTGTGCACCGACGATGCTCCCAAATAATTTTAAAGTACTTCGGTATAAATCAATACAATGAGTTGTATGGCCATAGTAGTTATTGTCGTATTGCATTTTGGACGTATACTAAGGTTATGGCATTGTAACATAGCATCATACGAACTATAAAGATGGCACTACGACGCGCCTATTACAAATGTGTTGGGCCGTTGAATCCGGTTCTTTTGGAATAATTCGTCTGCTATGTTTACAAATATAAAATGAAAGCTATTTTTAGCTGTCCGGAGATCCTTGAGCGATTCTGTATATGTAGCACACATAGCACACAAATGTGATCCTAGTTCTAGTCGTTCTGCATAGTAAATAATTAAAATAGCAATAAAATAGAAGAATGTTGCTATTGATAAAGAGTAATATGTAAGGCGATAACATTGGTATTGATTAGAGCGTTTCCTACGAGGGATGCATTGTTGTTGTCGCTATTAGCGTGGCGCAGATGACTTAAACTTGAATTTTAGATTCACTTGCCATAAATCTGCACAAGCATTGCATCCTTCTCTGTACTAATCCTGACCTAAACAGGTATTTTCATGAAAGCTTTGTGATGTCCAGAGTCTTTAAGCCGGACAAAAAGCGAGATTGTAATCAATAATCTTCGGTTGGATATGCTTGATTAGAACAAGCTGCTGATACTTGATCAATTTCATGAACTTATTTGCACTTTTTTTTGTACCTCTCTTTATAGAATATTTGCCAATCACTGTATACATGTTTATGTGAGAAATGAGACCAATGCACGTAGGCTTCCGATATTAAACCAGCTCGAATATCTCTGCTTTCGAGCCTATTCACATTTCCCCACGTTAGAAAAACGTGGATGAATGAATACATGGGTAGTGCATGGTTTTTACCATATTTAGTGCTATGTGTAGGTAGCTAGTTATATGCCTACAAATGACCGTAAATTTAGTTATACCCTTTTTTTAACTGAAATAACGACTAACTCTGCATTTTCTATTTTGTAACTTCTGTTTGTTACACTTATTTCTGCACTTCTATACGAAAGACTAACTTTTAGACAATAACTAATCTATATATGTAATTAAAAAACGCTCTTTGTTTTTTAGATCTTGTTTTATCAAGAAGCTTTACTTTAACTGGATAACCAAAATCCTACCGTGTTAATTATATATGAAGATATTCTCTTTTACCTAAAGCTTTAATGGGCAAGATGGAAACATAGCTTCGCAAAAATCTCCATCAAGAGCAGCATCGAATGCCTTTTCAGAGTCGCTATCGCCATAACCAAACACGTTTCCTTTATACGTGTAAAGTAGAAGCGCCTGAAGGGGTGAGGCGTTAATCAGAGAACGACCAAGACGACAAAGAACTAACTGCGTGCACGAGTCAGGAAAACTTTCAATGAAGTCGATAACTCTAGAATCTACGCCCACAAGCGTGTCCGACACCAGAGCTGTAGCAGTGTCCCGGGCACTTCTCGCAATAAATTCGTTCTTCGATGAGTCCGTTAGGCTCCACAGCTGAAACGGCAACCTGCTTGTGTGATTGCTATAGAAGGAAGAGATCGGCTCGAAAATAGTCTCAAGGTATTGCCGTTTTCGCCGATGTGTGTCAGCCACGTGGGTTTTTTTTCCCGACCCAAAAGTCGACCGATGTGAACCGAAAGCGCGAGCCGAGTAGTAGTCGTTTTGGTCGTTTTCTTCACCGTATTCGTCATCACTGTACGTGTCATGGTCGTTGTACTGTGACTCAAACGTGTTCTCGTGGACAGGCACCAAAGGTAGGCGCTTCTCGTGCTCCTTACGTGCCTTCTTATTCTTGTAGGCATCAAGAAGGTCTTGATCATATTTCACCAGCGGAACAGAAAATGGCGTTGATAAACACAAAAAAATGTTAATTTCCTGATCGTCCATGTAGAGCGTACGTTTACTACGAGACTTCGGACCTTCGGTATCTCCAGAATTCTGTGCGTTTGGCATAAATGAAGGAAAAGTCTTGAGGGAGATAGAGCGTCGGTCGAAGTCCAGTACATTGTTGTCACTTTCCTCTGACGCACTTGCATCTAGCTTTGGTTCCTCATCGCGTTCTTGCACTGACGCACCTTTTACACTGTGGTTGTTCTCAGCATTTGATGCAGGTCCCATTATAGCCGGTTTACTGAAACTATGACTGATCGTATCAAACGGGATTCCGTACGACCAGGAGTTAACAACGAAAGGAAAATATATCATAATGGTGAAAAATAGTTGATGATCATCATAAAATAACGTCCGGGCTTGTGTATTAGACAATGCATACGACTTTTTCGTTTTGTTGGCAAATCGATTGTCTGCTCCTACACACCCCAGGATACACACAGCTAAAAGCAGCTCAGACCTCATCTTGTTACTATGAGACACTCCACACCTGACAAGCGTTTTTGAAAGCAGGTGATTAGTCGGGGGTTCGTCATCGAGCACAACCCACCCTACAGAGAGTTATGGCGAGGAGAAGTGGGGAAGCTTCGTTCACAAGTAATAACCAACATTATTATTATAGCAGGGCTGTAGGGTTGACAATCCATACTGCGAACGGCTCAAGTTGTTGGGGGAGTCTACCATGAAATATTGGCGTTACCTGGCTGCTGTCCTTTTGCAGCAAAGTGATGCCCAGGTGCCTGACTATAATATTTCTGTGTTATGCGAAGAATTAGTGCTAAAATTAATTAGCATACTTACCTGAAATTCTGTGAATTTTATCAGACATATTCCGTTACTTTGTTCGACCCGAACAAAACTGCACCGTTCTTGATAAATCAGTAACAATGCGTTAGCTTTCGATTTTTTAGGCGTTAACTATGAGATTATCAGCAAAGAAGCTACGATACTTTGAAACGTAACAGCTTGTCATGATATCAAAGATAAGATGACACACTCGTGATCAGTGTTAGATAGTTTATTCAGATCAGTGATAGATATTTCAAGATACTCACAGTATCGGCGGAAGCAAATTGTTTAAATATGTTTACTTCACCAATAACAATGAATCTGTCATAAGCACGTACAAGATATATAGACACGCAAACGTTATTTCCTGTTGGATTTGCATTGGTACATCTGTTTCTTATTTAGAGGTCACGACTAAAACTTGCATCTTGAAATTAGGGAACAGGTGCAGTTCTTCTATATTGCTTTTATTTAGCAACAACAACAACAATAGTTAAAAAAATGTTATCAGCATCGGCGTGTTGCAGTATTCGCTTTAAACCAATTTATAATTAATCTTCTTTGGCGTCAGTGTTTCAGGATGAAAGTACGGTTTTAGACAGATCTACGCAAATTATGTCCGCGCCGTCAGCTTTAAGAAGATAAAAACAAGACATTATTCAAATGCTGAATACCTGGCAGTTTTAGATTGCAAAATGTTTAATTAACGAACACGTAAGTTTTTCTGAGTAAGTTCGGAATAAGTGTAACGCAGGTACGCATTCCCTATTCATTGTGTTTTTTGACCCCTATTCAGTTTGTGTTTATGAGGTAGATTTTCAATACATTTGCTTGCAGTATCAAAAAATAGAGACTTGACGTTTGTCGTACACCTAGCGTCTGTTACGTATAATATACTAGAGCAGTTCGAACTGCTAAAACTGTGCTTGAAAAGAACGATATCTAGACTAATAGTGATATCGTCATCTGATGAGCTCAAGCCCCTGAAAGTGCCCTTTAGCAATTGTTGTCTCCCTGTTATTATTAATACACATACATAAAAAGTTTGGTGTCTCAATTATTATAAGATATGACCTCTGTATTGAAATCATAGGCATATACATTTACAGCTAGTTCGTATATAGTGAAATCAAAACTATATAAATACTTGACCGAGGTGGATTATACAAGCTATAAAAAGGCTACTTTTTTAGGGCCGGCCTTATTCCCGACTGTGTAACTTTTTGCAAAAAAAAAAAACAGTGAAAAACACTTCTACAGAACTATCTCTTTCATGTTTGATGCATTTACATTACAACCCTTAAACACTGCCGGTTCAGTATATAAAAAAAATAATTGAAATAAAAGTGTTTATCTCAATCAATAGTTGTTACTAGCAATTACTGTTATCTAGGTGCTAGACAATACCTAATATTGTCTAGCACGTAGACATCAACAAATGCACCACGAATATACGCCAACGATTTTTCATCTTGATGATTATTCTCCGCTGGATCCTGTTTGACCTGAAGACTTTTACCACGCTTCTAGCTAAGCAAAGAGCTCGCTCACGCATCTTCACACGCTGAATGTTCCTCAGTGTGACCCCACTGGATGCCGCGCCAGCGTGAACGAGTGAAAGAGCGTTATCATTACAACAGGTTAGCAGCATGCCTTCGCGAGCTCTCGAGGCGTGACCGTATGGCTAAGCCGTAAATGAGCGATCGAGTGACTCCTGTCGCGTTGGCCAGCGACAACCATTTTCGTTTGTGACACACACACGCATATATACACACAGACTCACGTAGATAGGCATTGTTATCTGGGGGGAGGGGGGAAACGGCCGCTAGCAGCTTTTCTTAAGCTGTAGCATTAACAACAACAACAACAACAAAAAGCAGAGGCCGATCCAATAGTAAAGAACTGATGCCAGTTACGGCTGAATGTTTAATGAAACTCGAACATATCTGTGTAAAAATATTACTTGTCAATCAGTAGGTGGACAATAATTTTTTCTGATCCAATATGCCAAAGAAATGTTTC